GACTTGTTTTACAACGTCGTTGCCAAGCGACGAAAACCCAACCCCGACGATAAACACCGGGGGGGAGGTGGGGGGGTGTACTCATAGTCGTGCATGCCGTAGTCGTTTGACCATTGANAGGCGGCTTGTTTTCTAACGTCGTTGCCAAGCGACGAAAACCCAACCCCGACGATAAACACCGGGGGGGAGGTGGGGGGGTGTACTCATAGTCGTGCATGCCGTAGTCGTTTGACCATTGACCTCGCATCCCTACAGAGCCGGGACGGAGCACGCCGGGTTCTCACCGGACCAGGCGGGGGGGAGGTGGGGACGGGGAAAACCAATGGAATGGATCGTCGGTGAAGGGTTCATCTATGCGTAGTAGGAAGGGGTTGCAGCCTGGACTGTCATCTTCTCCACGCATACCGAAGAATGCGTTCTTCAGCCTGAGAATCACATGTGTTTTAAAACAGCTAAAAAGACGCTCCATAAGGACGTCCACACATCTCTCACCTTCGTAGCGAAGTACGGTATGTGCGTAGACCTTTGTAGCTGAGTGATATTCGTGCGTAGACCGTTTCCTCGGGGCTGGGAATCAGTGTGATGCAGTTGAGTTGCGCTTACCTATCTTCGTTGTTTCTCTTGGATGGTCTCCATCTCTCGTACGCTATCAAGCAAAAAGTGTACAATAGTAGCTTGCTGACGACCGTCGTGCTGATAATGACCGTAAGTACGTCCATCACAGGAAAATACGGCATCAACCCAACACATGTTAGCATGACTTAGTAAGGCATGTAATAGCCATGTTAACGGGTGACAACGTTCACTTTGACGGCTTGTGTTAACTTTTTCCGTATGGGGGGTGTTAAGTAAACACCGGGAGGTTTACAACGTGCGTGAAAACGTGCCATGGAGATCATGTTGACGTTGCCCCTTATTCGTATGTGCGGCATGACCGCCGCCTCTTCGACACCTGTAGAGGGCAAACAGAGAGGTGTCCGATACTTCAATTCCTGTTTATGGCCCCCACACCCCTAGCGCCGCGACCAGTATGAACATTATATTCGTACCCGGACAGCCATGGCCCATCATAGTACCTTGTACAGATTTTGCGCGAAGTCGCCAAAACATGTACCCTGGTACTTTTGTCCGGTACGCAGGAAGCACAGAATTACTCACAGTTTCCTTCCATTTATGTCCTGCTCAAGCAACCAGCAACCAGCAACAAGACATGCTCTTGTTGCGTCGTGGAGGTTGCAACTTGTAACCTAGCCTACTCACAAACGCGTGGTTGGGAAGGTATGTTCGAGAACTCGGGGTGGAAACTGCAGCTAATTCCTCTCACCTGTGACTTGCTTTCTGTTCAGGCCAAGAAACGTGAGCTTGCCAAGGGCTCGCGGTTCCGTACGGATGGAACCTGCCAGCAGCCAAAACTTCAAGGTCAAGCAACCAGCAACCAGCAACAAGACATGCTCTTGTTGCGTCGTGGAGGTTGCAACTTGTAACCTAGCCTACTCACAAACGCGTGGTTGGGAAGGTATGTTCGAGAACTCGGGGTGGAAACTGCAGCTAATTCCTCTCACCTGTGACTTGCTTTCTGTTCAGGCCAAGAAACGTGAGCTTGCCAAGGGCTCGCGGTTCCGTACGGATGGAACCTGCCAGCAGCCAAAACTTCAAGGTCAAGCAACCAGCAACCAGCAACAAGACATGCTCTTGTTGCGTCGTGGAGGTTGCAACTTGTAACCTAGCCTACTCACAAACGCGTGGTTGGGAAGGTATGTTCGAGAACTCGGTGTGGAAACTGCAGCTCATTCCTCTCACCTGTGACTTGCTTTCTGTTCGGGTCAAGAATCGTGAGCTTGCCAAGGGCTCGCGGTTCCATACGGATGGAACCTGGCAGCAGAAAAAAAGTGGAACGTATTGTGAACGGATTCGTTTTGAATAACGTTGGTGTATGAGCCAACATAAAATATAACGGGATAGAATGCAGGGTCCCCTGAATTCTAAAACATCATCAATTCACCCACGCGTGGGGGAGCAGATGTCGAAACATATGATCGAATGTAGGTTACCACATGTTCTAGGAAAAATCGATTCGGTCGTCGGAACTAAAACAACACGAACGCTTGACTTACAGAACATACTTCTAGGACGCTACCGCAGCTTGGAAATCTGAGCGCCTTACAGCGGCTTGACCTTAGCTGGAACAAGTTTGATGGCGAATCCAGGACGTTCAACAGTGAAACTATGTTATTCGACTTGTAAAACCAACATGTGTCTCGCGTACGCGTGGGCGGGACACATGTAGTCTATAGACTATGTTGCAGAAATAACAAAAAATAAATAAATACAGAAAATAATTTAATTTCAACACCTTCTCTCACCCGTGAGCTAGTTGTCGGACAGGTCGAACCACGTCAGCGTGTTGAGGCCGTCGCGCTAAGCGGGTAGCGCACCTGCGTAGCTATCGAAGTAGTTCGAGTTGCGGTGGGGTGTTTTCGATTCTCGAACATCGCAAGGCCTGAGCTGGTTGTCGGACAGGTCGAGCCACATTAGTTTGTTGAGAGCGCCGAGCTGAGTGAGGATCGCACCTGCGTAGCTATCTATCTAGTTCTAGTTGGGGTGCGGTGTTTTCGATTCTCGAACATTCGCAAGGCCTGAGCTGGCTGTCGGACAGGTCGAGCCACGTTAGTTTGTTGAGAGCACCGAGCTGAGCGGGGATCGCACCTGCGTAGCTATCTATCTAGTTCTAGTTGGGGTGCGGTGATTTCGATTCTCGAACATTCGCAAGGCCTGAGCTGGCTGTCGGACAGGTCGAGCCACGTTAGTTTGTTGAGAGCACCGAGCTGAGCGGAAATTGCACCTGCGTAGCTATCGAAATAGTTCTAGTTGCGGTGGGGTGTTTTCGATTCTCGAATATTCGCAAGGCACCGCAACTAGAACTATTTCGATAGCTACGCAGGTGCGATCCCCGCTCAGCTCGGTGCTCTCAACAAACTAACGTGGCTCGACCTGTCCGACAAGCTGTTCAGCGGTGAGAGACGGTGCTGAAATTTGAATGCCATAGAGAAGTATTTTAAAATTTCTTCAACATACGCATGTGTCCCGTGGGTGGGATTCAACATTCCTCTGAGGAGACGAAAAACTTCAGTGCTACCAAAACATCTTCCAGGCGGTTTACATTGAGCCACAGGTGTGTCAAAGCCGCGAGGTTGCCCAGCTTTTCCGGAATAGGACGTGTTTGAGTAACGCGAGAAAACGCCGTCCTGCATCACTTGTAACCTAGACTACTCTAGTCTATTCGAAGTATTGTGTGAGGGCGGAGTGTTACAATGTAAAGGTTCAACAGCGACGAGGTGAATAAGTACGTGCAGCTTTCAACCACAACACCAGATTGTGATAGTCAGGTTCATGATGTTTTCGTTTCGTGCTGTGCAAACAGTAGTATATCCCTGCTGCAATTGCGCATCTTTTGCCGTAGTATGCATACATATGTTACATGTTACGCCGCCGTTGACCCCGGGGATGGTGATTTATCACCCCCGGAATCCAAGGATACTTCCCCGCGGGGTCGACTGTGCTGGAAGGCAAGTTGCAGGGATTTCGACGGACTGTGGGAGACAGTCTCTCGTTCGGAGTTTACCCTCTAGCCGCATATGCCCCTGCGCACACGCACGCACATGGACATGGACGAATTGGAAGACAAGAGCACTCACCTGCTGCTGTAACAAAGGATGCTCTTCTCTGCATCCAATACTCTATTTTGGTGTTTCCAAAGCATACAGCGACCTTAAATCTAAGCTCTAGCGAAGACCCTGTCAGTCCTGGGTCCCACTCCTCAATCCTCAACCTCGGGCACGGATTCAGTTTTGCAAAGGGCCAAGGGTGTGCTATCTACCCGCAAGTACCCGAGGCAATGGTATTTGACAATGACAATAAACCATTGGATGCTGACAGAGGAGCGCATGCATACAGTAAAAATATTATAGGAGAGGAACGCAGAGCTACGCGAGCCTACACGTGGTTTCAAAGTATGCAGGCATGCATGGAGCAACCCGGGGACAATTTAGGCCCCTTTTCCGCCCCAACTTGCGCCCTACTTTCATCACGCTCGCATACGACAACCGGGGTGGAGCCCGCTGTCGTACTCGCAGGGCAGGACCACACCATCACAAGGGAGGTTATTTGCCAGGACAGCGCGGGATTTATTCACGGTGAGTCCTTGTGTCGTGACCTCGTGAGGGCAAGACCCCGGGGTAGGTGCGAGCCGAAATCCGACTACGCCGCACGTCGCAGGCGGGTCTGTCTCGCTGGAGTAGGGGCACTTCCTGCCGTCGCGTGTGCCGTCAGTACATGTCTCAGGCTCTCTTGGGAAGACATCCGTTTGGAAAATGGCCTCGTGTACGCAAATAACTCGCGAAAAATGCGGATCATAATCTCACCCGCAAGCGAGGGATCCTGTCCCAGAGGCAGCACCAGCAGCAGCGCTTGTATTGTTTTTCAAACACGGAATGCATGCGCATGTTTTTCGCCTCGGATGGAAGTGGGGCGTGCGCAACGCCATTGCACGACGATGACGAACAGACCAAGCTTATGGCTTCCAGCATGCCCTCGAGTTCAACCTTGATGATGTTGTGTAGCAACCACCGAGTCCAATTCAGCGCTAGACCGAAATCTCCAAATTCGCCGCCGCTGCCAGAGGCATGTGGTGGCCCTGGCTGTGGCCGTTCATGCCGTACCTGTTTCCAGTTCGGTGGCGGCCTCGCTCTTGAGGAATAGTGGAAATAGTTGTTCTAACTCCCGTAAGGTGCAGAAGCAGGTTATGGGTTCGAGTCCCGACAGAGTGATTTTTTTCTCGCTAATCAAATCCTGGTCTCCGTTGGAAGCAAAGCGCTGCCAAGCTCGTTTTTGGTAAGTAAAGTTGATCGACTTCATAAGTCGCGAGGGAAGGGATTGCTGTACCCTTCTCGCGATAAAAATATGAGGGGGTCCGACCCTCCCTCCTGNCGTTCATGCCGTACCTGTTTCCAGTTCGGTGGCGGCCTCGCTCTTGAGGAATAGTGGAAATAGTTGTTCTAACTCCCGTAAGGTGCAGAAGCAGGTTATGGGTTCGAGTCCCGACAGAGTGATTTTTTTCTCGCTAATCAAATCCTGGTCTCCGTTGGAAGCAAAGCGCTGCCAAGCTCGTTTTTGGTAAGTAAAGTTGATCGACTTCATAAGTCGCGAGGGAAGGGATTGCTGTACCCTTCTCGCGATAAAAATATGAGGGGGTCCGACCCTCCCTCCTGTGTGACCCCGGTTGGGTCGTCTGGCTGGTAGAAGTGGAGGATAGGGGCCAGAATGGCAGACGACAGAGTCCGATGATGGGAGAAAAACAAAACAAAACATATGAAGCGCAGACCCACGAAAGAGTTTACTTATTTTGTTCCTCTCTAGTCTATCTCTTCCCCTCCCCCTCCCCCCTCCCAGAGGTGCCGATATGAAATGGATGCGGAGCGCTGTTTTCGGCGAGGACACCCCATCTCCTGTCAGGGTTATTACGAGGCTGTTTACGGTGAGAATTGATCGCGGAAAATGTTGATGGCGTCTATTGTCCTGTTGTAGTCCATGACACTGCGCAAAAATTTTCTCTCTGTCTTTGCTCTCTTGAATTGCCCAACTGGTGCGGTGACTTCGCGCCAAGTTCCCCCACTTGTCTCAATGCCCATGACTTACATGGTTGCGGTCATCGATATATTGAGTCGTCTCCGCGACAGCAGTAATCATCTTAAAGATCGCGCCGTTCGTAACGCCTTAGGCATCATTTTCGCACACTGATGACAGGCGGGGGGCGAGGAGAAAGAGGACAGCGATGATGCAGGAACATCGCAAGATGCATCCAGGGCGCAAAAGTAAGCTGAAGCCTGGGTTACTTAAGAGTCAAACGAGTCTTACCAGTGACTAAAGTGCATTTTCTGTGTTATCTTTTCATACTTTGTTCTGCTGGGTGTTGCCTCGTCGGTGATGAACGCTTGATGTATCGCCCTGTTCATACTCCGACGTTATTTCCGCAAAGTTGAACTCTCCGGATGCTCCAAAAGGAATCAGAGTGATGTTCGGGTGAGATCACCATGTAGATCGTTGTCTGCTCGCGCAATTCAGACTAAGCACGAAGTATCAGCCAACGTATCCAGTTGGCGTGAACTCGCAGAGTCGTATCAGCTTTCGTCGTTTAGTTGAACGACTGATCAACATCGCAACGAGGGCCTATTGGTTACAAGCTGTTCACCCGCGCATTTTGTGTTTGTCCACGGCCGTCTGGATGACGATGCGGCAGGATGACGACCCCTCCGTACAAAAGCTTAGGGTTTACGTGCGGAGCCAAATCGCGAGCGGTCTTCTCGGAGACCTAGACGGCGTCAAGAAAAAGGTGTGGGAGAGGGTGGACTCCCTCTTCTTCTAGGGGCGTAGACGCTGGCTCGGCCCGCTTTGGAAGCAGGTCAAAGATCTTGCCCCGACCACGCGCTTGATTCCCGACGCTTGGAACGGCCACGTTGACGGAGTCGCCGCCTTAGAACACCGTAAGGCTGATAGTAAGGCGGCGACTGCGTTCACCTTGACCCGCTTTGCCGGCTAGGAGGGTAGACTCCGGGCGTGGATAAGTCAGCCGGAAGTGTTAGAGGCAGGGTTGCAAGACTACCAGGAAGAGAAGACGTTGCACTACCTATCCTGCATCATCAATCACGCGGAGGAGGTGGGTTGATACGGTAGTCAGTTAGCGAGTTGGGCATGTGTGGAAGGGTTTGCGTGTCTATTTATTTCTGGTAGGGATAGGTGTGTTGGAGCTACCACCAATACCTGGCGCTCGGGTCTAGACTAAACTATCCGATTTCATCTTGTTAATGTGTATTCCACGGCCACGTAGCTGAGGTACTCTACCCATGCCCGCGCTTCTCTGATCGAGCTGTTCCCTATCCCCTCCCCTTAACGCAGGAGCTGTACAACAAGGTGAACGTGAAAGAGCGCAAGGATTCCGTGGCCGTGGAGCTCTCTTACCCGAGTGAAAGGTATCAGATCACAAAATCGCGCGGGCAAGTCCTGTACTACATTGCCGGGTGGGCTGCCAGCAAGGCTTGGACGCATAAAAGAAGACACAACCTTTCCCAGGATTGGGTGCGTGTCGTCCAACACAACACTCGCCGGTCCAGTGGGGAGGCGATATGTACTGATTCTATGCTGAGATTTTGTTGCAAAAGTCGATTCGAAGAACGATAGGAAGAACAGTCCGGGACTTCTTTACCCGACGATGGGCTGGGTAGTGTTCGTATATGCCGTGGAGAGGGGCATATTCCATTTCTTTAAAAACCTCATCTTCCTTGCTGCTTGCCTCGGAGACTTGCCGGTCGAGATTTTNAACGATATGTACTTGTTGTGGATTTCGTCTGAGATACCCTTGACAAGTGGGCAAGGCTGTGCCTCTCGATGTTACTCGAGATGGTTGGCACCGCGAGCGGTTGAAGATCAGAAGTCGGGTACTTCTTGTGCTGTCTAGAGACGTGAAGATATGTTAAACACTGGCGCTTAGTTGGCCAACACACTGATAGATCCACAGGGAACGCAGAGGTCCAGATGACGGCAGGTCCTCGAGATGACTATCCAGAGAAGTCCATGCGATAGAATCATGCGAGAGATCCATGCGAGAGATCCATGCGAGAGTGAGAGACACGCGATCCCTCGAGCAGTAGTCTATCTAATTCCTCCGCATACAGATGCGTTACGGATGAACCGAAACATACAGTATCTACGATGCATGATCTACGATAGAGAGCAATGCTACTGAACGTTGACTAGTACAGGACATAATTCAATATTTCCATAACAACAGTACTGATTCTATGCTAAGAGATTTCGTAGCAAAAGGCGGTTCGAAGAACGATATGAAGAACGGTCCGGGACTTCTTTACCCTACGATGGAGTGGATAGAGTTCGTGTATGCCGTGGAGAGGGGCATATTCCACTTAAAAAAAAAACTTCCTTGCTGCCTTCCTTGCTGCTTGCCTCGGAGACATACCAGCCNTAGTCTATCTAATTCCTCCGCATACAGATGCGTTACGGATGAACCGAAACATACAGTATCTACGATGCATGATCTACGATAGAGAGCAATGCTACTGAACGTTGACTAGTACAGGACATAATTCAATATTTCCATAACAACAGTACTGATTCTATGCTAAGAGATTTCGTAGCAAAAGGCGGTTCGAAGAACGATATGAAGAACGGTCCGGGACTTCTTTACCCTACGATGGAGTGGATAGAGTTCGTGTATGCCGTGGAGAGGGGCATATTCCACTTAAAAAAAAAACTTCCTTGCTGCCTTCCTTGCTGCTTGCCTCGGAGACATACCAGCCGAGATTTTCAAAGTTGTAAGCGAGGCGGAGGCCGTCGAGGAAATGTGGGGAAACTGCTGCCCCCCTGGTCCTCCTACCATCGATCCTAGTAGTGTAGATCCCAAGAGTTGTTTCTTTTCGTTGTCGGGAAAATCCTCAACGTGCGAATGGGTGACTTCGCGAAGAGTGCAAGGGAGAACACTTCCCTCAAGTTCTCGAAGGCCGCGCCTGCTTTCCGGCAACAGCTGAACGCACGGGTCGGGCCAAATGGAGGGGCGGGGGCCGGTAGTGGCGAAGTAAGGGGGGTTGCACAGGGGGGCTGGGCCGCAGGAGGGGGCGGGGGGGGCGGTGCAAAGCGCCGAAAGGGAGGACGTGCACGGAGGCAGGCCCCGCCCACCCTTTATCAGTTGAAGGGGATGTCCCGGGCGGAGATTAGCGACAGGTGCACTGTAAGACAACTTCTCGTGCTCGAAAAGGACACCGAGATTAAGAAGGGCACAATGAACTCAAGAAAAGATGATCTCCTCGATTACCTGGCGGCGTATGTGGGTGGGTTCGGGCAAGAATCTGTTGAAGGGGCAGGCCCCAGTGCGACGGGGAGTGGTCTAGGCGAGGGAGGATGCGGGGGGCGTGGTGGTGAGAACGCGGGTGAGGGCAACGCCCCAACAGGTAGCAACGCCCCGACAGGTAGTGGGGAGATGGTCTCTGTCGGTAGTGACTTTACGTCGTAAGAAGTGCCTGCGCAGGACGGAAGGGACGACGACGGTTACCTTTCCCGACCGGTTACAATGGATTTCTCGCTGTCGGTTTTGGAGGGGGCTGGAGTTTCTAGCGGGGGTGGCTCTTGAACAATTTTCCGAGGCACAAGGTGAAAGTTGGTCTGTCCGTGGCGTCGGGTTTCGTTTCGTCATGTTGTACTGTTCATGGATCAGGACTACCATCTTCTTTGTGTGCATGTCGAAGTTGGCGTGGATATTCTTCTAGCCACTAGGAGCGCCGGCGTGTTGCGCACCTATGCCGCGTAATACTTTCTCGAAGTACAAGTCTTGAGTATGGGTGTAAACACTGGTCGTGGCCATGTCAGTCAGCGGGGATTCTCTTCGTTGCCGCATTCAGCCGAGAGCGTTGCAGTGGCAAGGTGGGGTTGAACTGCGCCCAGTTATTTCTTCGTGTAAGTTGACAAGGAGAGCAAGTCGGTCCGATACGTGAGCACCCGAAACAATCGACAGGACCATTGAAAAAAACAGAGAGGATATACGGGGGACAACGAACAGAGAGGCATCGTCCGTCAGTATCAAACACCCGGTGATGTAGGCTGAGGGAGATATGACGAACCTCCAATGAAAAAAAGACAAGAGAGAAAACTCCCAACAACACGAAACAAGAAAGATAGAAAACTCGACTACGGGCAATACGCCTGCGGGTTTTGCGTGACAGGGAAGTCAAACTCACACGTGCTTCGAACACTGTTGGGGCGAGTCTCCCACCCCGATAAAATATAATAAATATCAGGACCCGGCTCCGCTCGACAAGGGGGGCACCGGACTCGCTCCTCCCTACAGTCCTATCTGCTGTATGTACGTGGGCAAGCCCAGTGCTTCCCCAAAGCTATATGACATGGCACGCTGGGATTACTCCTATTGCTGATTCCCGGAGAGAAAATCGAAATACCTGCAGTCTTCTAGCTCTCTCTCTCTTCATGTCTCTCCTGCGTTTACTTGACCTAAAACAGCCAACGCTACCTTATTCCCTTCTAAACCTCTCGAGGGTTAACGGTATGTGTTAAAGACTACGGGTGTCTGGCCCGCAGGGGCTGCTGTCGACTCCTGGGATGCACTACCCCCTACCACAGGGTCGGCATGGGGTTTGTCAATGCTGATGTACCGCGGGAACATCACAGCTGAGATAGCGTTCCTCGAGGGCGCCCGCATCGTAGCAGACCGCTCGGCGTCGGTCACTTGGGAGCATGATCCGCCCCCGGATCCCGGACGCGATGAAGTCCTCCCCTTTCCGCGCATGGTTCGCGCGGGAAATCCCGTGCAAACTGCGTTGCAGGTCCTCTTGTGCTGCCCTTTCCTTCGCTTGCGCAGCTGTCGGGTTGCAGTGCGACCCAAGACATTGGCACATGTGCCCGTACCGGTGTTCCACGATATCCTGTGGGGGGGGGGTGTACTCATAGTCGTGCATGCCGTAGTCGTTAGACCATTGACCTCGCATCCCTACAAAGCCGGGACGGAGCACGCCGGGTTCTCACCGGACCAGGCTCTCACATCACCAAGCGCGAAGCGCCGTGAGGTATTCGGCGGGTTGCATGAAGGGTGCGCTTCATCCTGCTAAGGGTTTTCGGCATCTTGTACTTACTTCCTTGCGTACGGATGACAGCTGCGCATGACTTAATTTATTTTCAGGTGCTCACTTCCAGAGACAGTTGTAAGTACTGTGTAACTGCCTCGAGGGTGCGTGACTATTTTAACACAACGTGGTGCGATCATCCCCCTTGCGCGGAGTGAGGGTTCTCCATCCCGCACAACATTATCTCCTCGACCACCATGGTTACCGCCAAAAAAAATCAGAGGAAAAAAAAAAAAACGGTAACCTGGTTGCCGAGTTCACGAAGTGAATT